AAAAGCACTCAATTAATTGGATTCAAATTAAGATAAGGCTCCGAGGGAACGGGGGTGGACGGGGGGAAGTGGTGGGACCAAACTCCTCACTGGAGGAAAACAAAGGTCTGAACCGGACGTGCACTTGATTCAGCTGTTAAGTGTTAGACACAGAGTCAGTGACCACAGACGGACGTCACCTCTCCACCGTGGACGCCGTCTCCTCCAGCTGCTGCAGCAGAAACGGGTAGAGAGCCGGGAACCGCGTGAAGAACTCTCGTCCTGTCATCCTGTTGGACGGACGCAGAACACAGAACAGGTGTGAGAACCTGGATGAGGTCACGCTCACGGTAAACCAATCAGCAGTGACGAACGGCATCGACCAATGGGGGTTATGACATTCACCCAGACACAAACAGTTCTGCTCTGTTCAGACAAAGGCTGTAGGTGAGAGGAAGATGTTCCAGCTGAAACAGGAGCCGACAAAAAATACAGATGGGACTGGACCACATGTCCCGCCGTGTTTCCTGCTGCCGTTGGAAGGAAAACACGAGAAGCAGCTCAGGGAAAAGACGAGAAAGTCGGAGATGTCTCACTGACGTCTTCAGAAAAGTTTGATTTAAGAAAAAAAAAAAAACTTTAACATTAACAGTAACTCTTATGACTTTCCAATCTTTTGGTTCAAAAATACCTCGTCAAAGATCAAGAGGCAGAACGATTTAAGAAGTTTACACACACACACACCGACACACACAGTGTGGTGTTTTGTAAATACACTTGTTTCATTCCTATTGTTCCGACCTCACAGTCGTGTCATTAAATCAGCTGAGCATCAACACCAGCACCAAGTCCACTGTAAACACTGATCCACTCCACTGCTCCACAGCCGACCGTGATTCGAGTGTGTGTGTGTGTGTGTGTGAGACAAAGGGCTTTTATCCTGAAAACAAGATGGTGCACATACACACACACACTTCCGCCCACATTAACCTCAGTGTGTAGCTGTGTTGGTAATTATAGCTACAGCAGCTACGTCCTCGGCTACATCAGTGTGTTGTTGTGCTCCGGCTGCAGCCCACAGACTCACACGCCGTCTGACGACAACGTTTTCCTGAATTATTTCCTACAGTTTTTACTGTTATTTTAGAAATGTCAAACTGACCTCCACCCTTCACCACCACCCTCAACCAGCAGCAGCTAAAACCTGCTTCTCCACCAGAGACGCTTTTTTAGACGTGGCGCTGGTGCAACAGCGCCCCCCTGTGTCAGAAGACAACAACTGACAGAGCTGAGAGACCTGTTCTTTTTGGAGTGCTCGTCCTTCCCCTTCTTCACTCCAAAGATTCTGGTGATTAAGGTGCTGAAGAGCAGAGTGGAGGAGTTTCTAACCTGGAAGAGCAAAAAAAAAACAAAAAAACAATCAATTCAATTTTTGTGAAAAAGACAAAAAAACTGGTGGAGTGATTGGAGGGAGGGGTGAACTGACTGCCCAGACAGCAGAGGTGAATCCCAGCACAGCCGCCTGCATCCCATCTGAGACAAAGGGAATGATGTTTTCTCCCAGACGGGTGTCTCTGAAGAGAGCCCTGAGGATGTTGAGAGCGTGGACCTGTGGAGAGGAGAGAGGCTGATCTTTAAAGATCTGAGCAGAGTCACCTTAAATTCAATGACACAGGCTAACATGCTAACATGCTAACACGTGTGGCTACTGCACCTGAGGGACAGTGGAACCTTCAGAGCTCCTGTCAGCAGACGGCATGGCCAGGCTGATCAGCTGCCTCATGGTCATCTTCAGTAAACTGCAGCTGGACGACTTGGGCTCCGAGGACAGCAGAGCCTGTGGCGATGAATGGAAACGGTTCAGGAAAGTGCTAAGTCACCATTAAAGTTTTGGATTCATCAATGACTGCATGATAAACATCACATCGTCTTCGGCAAAATTAAATAATTTTTTTTTTTTAACTGTACTGTTACTATTGTATGACTGACTGCAGAAATGCAGCCCCAAACTCTGACAGAGCCCGGACATCTGCATGTCCTCAGACTTCCTCTGCTTTGTCAGCAGCTCCATTTTTCTTCTCCTACTCTTTCCACCAAAAAGAAAAGTCTTATTTAAAAAGATCATCTCTGACAAAGTCGATCTCACTGAAGGTTAGGAGACTAAAACATAAAAATACCAAAACAATAATATTTAAAATTTGAAAAAAAGAAACTGCACCTGAATTCAGCAGAGTTTTAACCCTCTAGAAAACACAGCACACCTGTATGTAGAAGGGTATTCCAGCACTGCGTCGTGTGGCACACAGCTTGGACGATGGATCGCTGACTCTGACCTCCTCCAGGACCTCAGACAGCCAACGGGCCGGGAGCTGCTGCAGGGCCTCACTCCCACTCCTGAGACACACACAGACACACACACACACACACACACACACACACGCAGAGAGAGTCAGAAATCTTCTGAACCGACACACGTGTCTCTGACATCGTGAGATTAAAACATCCTCGGTCTAATCTAATCCAGGTTTTTTTTTTCCTGTCAGATGTTTATGATCAGCTGACTGTGGAGGTTTTTATGACATTTTCCTGTCAGAACAAAAGCACACCAAAGCAGGATCGTGTCATTTCCAATATTTCTTCAAATCCCCTCTGGCAACCAAACAGACTTTTTTTTAATTTTTTTTAAAGAAAACCAGAAATGTGCCACGTGAAATGTTAAAATTAACATGTGATTATAAAGATGATTACAGCAGTGGAGAGCCGTCTGAGAACCGTCACCTGCCTCAGGGAGACAGACGTCTGAGGCAAACAAAGGGAAGAAGTGAGGAATGTCTTCAACATCATCATGTTTCTACCAACGCTGGGGGGCATGGAGACGAGGAAGAGAGACAGAGTATGAGGATGAGGCTGGGACTCCGTCAGCTCCATCAGCCGTCAGACAAACACTGTTAAACTAATGTGTAAATACATCCAGGTTTGGATGAAGGGATCAGGTGATCAACACAGGAACCTGAGCCAGA